ATTTAAATCAAATACATAAAACTCTGTGTTAGTAAAAATATTTTAATAAAAAAATCAAAGGGAGTATTTAATAATGTGAACTAAACATAGCCTTATTAAAACTTGATAACACGATATTATACACGATTTATATGTGATATTTGGTCATGTTTTATTGTGTTTTCTTCATTCTCCTAATCTTTTTGAGCTATTATTCTTTCTATTTCGATACTACTCTTCTCGGTTTGTTTGTTTTTGTTTCTATAGGAATAGGGCTCGATTTGCATGGAATTCATTTTGGTCGCGATATTTCTTTATATGGAGCGTTTCTAGCACCAATGGAGCGTTTCGGCAGCCTACTCCACAGCTTGGTTGTGGCGTGCAACCTTATGGCAGCAACCTGGTTGTGGGCGTCCATTATTGGAGCAAAGGAGAGGCGAAGATAACCCACTCCACAGCCTGGTTGTGGCGATTTTCTTCGTGCCACAACCTACCTGTGGCAGCTCGTTTCGGTGGCGTTTGAGAGTCCTATTTAGTTAAAAATATCTACTTTTATGCTAGGATATAAATAGGTTTTAGATAATCTTTTATTTATCACTTTTTCAGATATTATTTTAGACTTCTTTTTGGGTATGACGTTCTTCCATATTATTTTCTAGGGTTTTGCTTTCAAGATTCAAGATTTCATAATTAATTCCAAGTATTGATTTCTTCTCTCAATTCTCTATTTTATTATTGTTAATTATGTTTTCTTTATTGATTATTATTCTTGATTTCATTAATATGTGTGAGTAGTTTCCTTATTCCAAGATCTAGTAGAACCCGAATATGATTAATGCTTGATTTAATTCTTTAAATTCTCTAATGATAATTCCAATTGATATGCTTAATTGATTGTGCTCATGCCAATACTTATTAGGGATAATTGGTATTGTTATTAATCCATTGTTTTAATCACAACGGGAGTTGGGTTTTGACGGGTTTGAATAAATCAATTAAGGGTTTGAAGTTCATCACGGGAGTAGTTGAATGGATGATTAGGAAGTTAGAGTAATGTGCTCAAAGTCTTTAATTTACATGATTCCACGGAAGTAGGCTTGATTGTGATTAGGGAAGCCATTGATAACTCGGGAGAGACCATTGGTAATATTCAGGGATTACTTTTCCTCTTTAATCAATTGAATTATATGTTAGGGGTAGAACTATTATTGCATTAATTTTATTCGTGGTAATGCTTGATCTTGGATGTTTTTAGTATTTGATTATCATTTTTTTTAGTTTAATCGCCGCTCTTGATATTTAGTTATTAATTCTCAATTATTTGATTTGGTTACTTGCTTAATATTTACTTGAGTCTATTTAATTAGTTGAACCATAGTCTCTTGGGATCCGACCCTTGCTTGCTCGTCTACATAGTAGTGGTCTAGTTAGGTTTATTTTTGTTAGGTACGCGACACGCCTATCAAATTTTGGCGTCGTTGCCGGGGACTAACGGTTTCATTCTAGTTATTTGTGATTCGTTTTTACTAAGCATATGTTTTGTTGCTTCGGCTATTGTTCCTTGTGTCTTTGATCTCTCGTTTTAGTTTCTTTGTTGCATGCAAACTCGAAGTTCAGGTTCAGATGATTTAACACCTTTTGATTCGGAGATCGAAGCTACTGCAAGAAGACGAAGAAGCAGAAGAAGGAAAAATCAAATTACAAGAAACATGGTCGACCTAGGAACAAAATCTCTTTTGGAGTATGGTATTCCAGATATAACAACCGGATTCTTCTCCAGTGTTGTTAGACCACCTGTCACTGCTCAGAGTTTCGAGTTGAAGCCCCAATTCATACAGTTCATCTCCAATGATTCTTTTGCGGGCTCACCGAATGATTGTCCTGTGACTCATATTGATAGTTTCTTAGAGAAGTGTGACACCATGAAGCTCAATGGTGTCACTGATGATGCTATTAGAATACGACTTTTCCCTTTTTCACTACAGGATAGAGCCAGGGAGTGGTTAAGAGATGAAGGTATTGGTTCTTTTGATACGTGGGACAAGCTTGCCAAGGCCTTTCTAGTCAAATTCTTGGGGCAATAGAAAACCGCAAAATTAAGGAACGAGCTCTCTACTTTCCATGAATCCAATGACGAATCCCTGTATGAGGCATGGAGAAGATTTAAGAGATTGCAGAGACAATGCCCTCATCATGGCATTCCAGAGTGGATGTTGATCCAAACGTTCTATAATGGTTTGACCCATGAGTTTCGCATATACATTGACGCTGCGTCCGGAGGTTCTATCATGACGAAGAACCCAACCGATGCGAAGGATTTGATTGAGAAGATGGCGGCTAATGATAATTACCATTCAAGAGGATGAAATGCTATCAACATAGGTAATAAACATGATGTTGATGCACTAACCATGTTGACTAGTTCTGTGCAGGCACTAACTCATAAAGTCAATCAACTCCAAGCTGAGTCCCCTCGACCCCCGATGGAAACTTGTCAGATGTGTGGATTGCAAGGTGTAGACACCCATTTGTGTCTCCCCAAAACCAAACCCGGTGATGAGTACCTTTCACGTCGAATCATAATCGAATGAAGTGAAAGTGTTGAAAGTTTAGTGTTGCGGATAGTTTTAATTTCTTTTCTCTTCTCTCTGTTTTTAAAAACTTATTTTAAGAAAACAGACAACCCAGTTTGGTTGGTCCATGATATGGGTCCAATAGTAGTGTAGTTGGTTGGGGCTTGACAAGAGATTTCCAACGATATATTATAAGCCCAATTCCGATGAATATTGAGGAAGTTATGGCCAATTTACTAAACTGGGCCCGGTTTGAGCCTTATATGCGGCCCAATGATCTAGGGGAGAGCCTAATATAGATTTATCATTCCTAATGCAATTAGGAATGGTTTTAGTCTTCTAGATTCTTCTAGAAGGTTCCTTTCATTCCTAATTCAATTAGCATTGATAAATTGACTTTTGTTGACTTTTCAGAGTTTTAATTAAAGTCAAAGAACATTTTTTGAGGAAAGATACGATTTTATCCTCATGTACGGAAATTTTATCTGATTTTAAGAAAACGCGTGATTTTCGGAATCAGCGCCAAACGCCAGCTGTAGCGCCTGGCGCCAATTGCCAGCGTTGGCGTTGGTTCAGTTTTGTTTGCGCCAAGACTCTGTTTTAATATTTTTTCCTTTTGGTTGATTTTCTCTATAAATAACGTACTAAAAACTCCGTTTTGAATAACCAGTTTTAACCAATTTTCATCTAAAACCAGTTTTAATCTACATTCATCAACATTCACCAATTCTATTTCTCTCTCTCTCTTTTTCTAAACTAGCTTCTCTCAAATATAAAAATTCCGCATTCATTAGATCTAGAAACACCTAGCCATATTCGAAGTTGCCTTCGCCCTAGACATGAAAGGTTTAATTTCTGAGGGTTTGGTCCCAAATCTCTCTTTCAATTATTTAATTTAATTCTTCCATTATTATTTTCCTTGAAGTTACTAACGTGTGTATTTTGTTATTAGAAAGAGGTACGAGGCATCAAAGTAAGTACTTTAATGGTTTTTATTGATGTTATGATGTAGAAATCATGCTTAGATTGTTATTATGATATTCCTAGTATCATGTCTAGGGTAATTTTAATATCAAGTATGATTAAAAGTATGATGCCTTATATTCTCTTCCTAATATTTATTGATGTTAGTATCATGTTAGGGTTAAAGATTTGATTTTTATTGTTTAGTGACATGCTAGGGTTTGTTATTAATCTTGTTAGTATCATGTCTAGGAACTTGCTATGCTTTAACATGATTATTATTATGATTAATATGATGATTATTATGATGATTATTGTTTTGATTATTATCATGATTATTATAATTAATTATTATGATTATTATGTTGCTTGATATATATTTTTATTGCTTGATCACGCCTTTTATGCATGCTTAAAGGGAATTTGTACTTGTAATCACACTTAATAAGATAATTAATAATCTTGTTTAGGGTTAATTTGATTATAATTCAAGTGATCGTCAATAATAGATTTATTTGTGCATTAAATTCAACCAACATAGATAAACAGGTTTAGGGTTAATCCTAATGATTGCATGTTAGTCAGAAAGCGCACATGAATATGATCAGAATAAAGTAGAGGCCTATTATTAGGGCAGGTTCAATCTCTTTTAGGTTGGATTTGTACCTTCATCCCCGAACCCTTATTTGGTTCAAGACCTTATGGAGTTGACGATCTCTTAGACCGTTAAGGGGTGTAACCTTCACCCTGTGAACGGTTTACAAGTTCCTAAAACTTGTTGGCGACTCTTTTGCTCTATCTTCTTCCCTTTTGGCCGCCACCATACTTTAGTGTATGATCACAGTGGGGTTCAAGCTAAGGGGTTAACGCTTGAAATTATTCCCTACACAAGGCCATACTGCGCGGGAGTGTCAACCCAATTATGATGGAATGACGATTGAGCAAGCTAATGCTTTTTATACCACGACCTCCACAAGGCCATTTGATGAAGGGTACAGAAATCATCAAGGTTTCTCATATATGAACAATCAGGCTCAAGTGAATCCTCCACCACCACCCGTTTTTCAAGCACGGGCACCTATCAGTCATCAATCCATGCGCCAACCACTACCTCAATCTTCAAATCTTGAATCCATTATGGAGACTTTTGCTACCTCCCAACGTCAACAACAAGAGCTTATATCAAAGCAATTTGAGTTACAAGCAAAGCAAAATGAATATTTTGAAAACTCGATTCAATTGCTTGTTGCTCAAAATAAGAGGATAGAAACTCATCTTTCTCAACTTTCACAGCAAGTGAGTCATCTTACAACTCTTCAAGATCAAGCAAAAGTCCAGATGAAACAATGCAATGCAATTTTCGTGAAGAGTGGTGAATTTTTTACGGGAGGATAAGAAGAGAAAGTGTGCAATGTGGAGTCAAGAACAGAGAAGCATGAGAGAGAAGGTCCCAAATATGTTGCTCCACAAGCATATGAGGAGCTGATGCCTTTCCCGCAAAGGTTATCAAAAGTCGTGCTCGATAAGCATTTTGGGAAGTATTCTGAGACTCTTAAGAAGGTATATGATACCATTCCTTTTTCCGATGTTGTAATTCAAATGCCTCAATTTGCAAATTTTGTGAAAGGAATTCTAGATCATAATGATAAGAAATTAGAATGTTTGGTAGTAAAGGAGAAATGTCGTGATCTTTTACATGATAGCTTACCACCTAAATTGCATGATCTTGGTAGTTTTACTATCCCTTGTATGATAAACGAAACATATTTTGATAGGGTCTTATGTGATCTGGGTGCTAGTGTTAACGTAATGCCTTCTTCAGTATATGACAAATTAGGTTTGAAAAACCTTAAACCCTCTCCTATATCTCTTCATATGGTTGATAGAACTGTTAGACTCCCTAAGGGTGTAGTTGAAGATGTATTAGTTGGGATTGGTGAACTTGTTTTTCCTGTTGACTTTGTTGTAGTGGATATGAAAGAAGACCATAAGATCCCACTTATCTTTGGTCGCCCTTTTCTTGCTACAAGTCAAGCTTTAATAGATGTTCCTCAAGGACAAGTGACCATTAGAGCTCAGGATAAGCAAGTTGTGTTTAAGCTTTTCAATGACCATAATTTCACTTTTGATGGTGGTACTTGTTTGAGAATTAATGCTACTAACCCTTTGGTTGATAAGTGTGTTTCTAATAGATATCTTGTGAGCAAAAATGACTATATTCCACCGCATGATGGGTTTAGCTACATCAAAATGAGTTCGGATACAAATTATATCAACTCTAGTTTGAAGGAGTCATATACATGTGAACACAATTACAGACAAGACCGTAGAGAATCCTCTCTACATGGTGGTGATCCAGGTTGAGCTACAAAAGGAGGTCGAGCTTATGACCTTAAAAACAAGTGCTTTTTGGGAGGCAGCCCAACTTTCTAGATCTTAATTTAGCTTTTTTTTAGTTAGTTTTTTTAATTCTTCTCTCAAAAAAAAAAAAAAAAAAAATCGTGCCGCTACTATTCCATTGCTTCTTGTAGGAGACTCGTTGGAATAACTAAGGCGGCTTGGTTTGAGGAATTGTTACACTTTGGAACTTCATGGCTAAAAATTTTAAATTGAGGATTTGGCACGAATTCGATTCGATGCATTATATTAATTACTCGAGCCCTCCTCGTCTACCTCTTTCATAATGCTTTGTGAGTACTTTTTCCCCTATTTTATTTATTCATGACATATTGTTTCACTGTGGACATTGCAAATTTTAAGTGTGGGGGAGGGTTTTATTATCCCAATGAATGATAAATCATGCTTCTCTGTGCCCCATACTTAAAAAAATTGTTTTGATCATTAGTATATGATGATGAGTATTGTGGATAAGTTGCCATGATTTGATATTTGATTGCTTTGATGCTTAACATGCGTCAATTTTGTCCAACTGCTTGTGAATATAGTGCTTGACTAGTTTATTTGGTGAGGAATGTGTGTTAGTTCCTGGTATGTCAATGAATTTGAGTATTGGTTTGCAACTATGAGTAGTGTTTCATGACTCACTATTATGCACATTGAGGAGGACGAAGGTGTTGTTCTCTTAGGTAGCCTTCAGATGAATTTAGGTACAATTTTTCCCTTCTTGCTACCCATGTTGTTGCCTTGACTTTTTATTGATTATTTAGCCACATTACAAGCCTATTTGAGCCCCATTGGTTACTAGTCCCAAGCATGGCTTGGGGGAGCTATTAGTTGGTGATGTGAGGGAGTTGTGGTGTGCATATTATTTGCACAATGTGGGAATAATTTCAAGATTTAATCCCACTAGCTTGAACCCCACTGTGATCATACACTAAAGTGCGGTGGCGTCCAAAAGGGAGGAAGATAGAGCAAAAGAGTCGCCAACAAGTTTTAGGAACTTGTAAACCGTTCATAGGGTGAAGGTTACACCCCTTAACGATCCAAGAGATCGTCAACTCCATAAGGTCTAGAACCAAATAAGGGTTCGGGGATGATGGTAAAAATCCAACCTAAAAGAGATTGAACCTGCCCTAATAATAGGCCTCTACTATATTCTGATCGTATTCATGTGCGCTTTTTAATTAACATACAATCAATAGATTAACCCTAAACCTGTTTATCTATGTTGGTTGAATATAAATTCACAAATAAAACTATTATTGGCGATCACTTGAATTATAATCACAATTAACCCTAAACAAGATTATTAATTATCTTATTAAGCATGATTACAAGTACAAATTCCCTTTAAACATGCATAAAAGGTGTGATCAAGCAATAACAATAAATATCAAGCAACATAATAAATAGTCAATATCATGAATAATATTACAATAATCATAATAATAATCATAATATCATCATAGATAAAATAATCATCATCAAAATAATAATAATAATATTCATAATCATCATAAATTATAATCATCATAATCATAATCATATTCATGTTAATATTAAAGCATAATAATAGCAAGATCCTAGGCATGATACTAATAAGATTAATAACAAACCCTAGCATGTCACTAAGCAATAAAGATCAAATCTTTAACCCTAACATGATACTAACAATCATAAATATTAGGAAGAGAATAAAAGCCATCGTAACAATCATATTTAATATTAAAATTACCCTAGACATGATACTAGGAATATCATAATAACAATATAAACATGATTTCTACATCATAATATCAATAAATCAATTAAAGCACTTACTTTGATGCCTCGTACCTCTTTCTAATAACAAAATACACACGTTAGTAACTTCAAGGAAAATAATAAACAACAATCAAATTAAATAATTGAAATAGAGATTTGGGACCAAACCCTTAGAAATTAAACCTTTCACGACTAGGGCGAAGGCAACTTCGAATACGGCTAGGTGTTTCTAGATCTTGCGAATGAGGAATTTTGTATGTAAAAGCAACTTTAGAGAAAAATGAAGAGATGAATGAATTAAGAGAGAATTAGAGAGAACGAGAGAGAATAAAAACTGATTGTAGATGAGAATTCGTGAGAATTCGTTAATGAAAACGGAGTTTTTAATACGTTATTTATAGAGAAATCAGCCAAAAAGATAAGATATTAAAACAGAGTACTTGGCACACGCAAAACGAGATTGGCGCACGCAAAACAGAGCTAGCGCCAGCACCAGCTAATTGGCGTCAGGTGCCAATGGCTGGCGCCAGGCCTGGTTCCAGGCGCCAATGCCTAGAGTCAGGCGCCAGGCCTGTTTTTGACGCATTTTCAAAAATCATATAAGTTTGTCGTACTGGAGGATAAAATCGTATGTTTTCCTCGAAAATGCTTTTTGATTTTAATTAAAACTATGAAAAGTCAACAAAAGCTAATTTATCAATGCTAATTGAATTAGGAATGAAAACAACCTTCTAAAAGAATCTAGAAGACTAAAACCATTCCTAATTGCATTAGGAATGATAAATCTATATTAGGCCCTCCCCTAGACCATTGGGCCGCATATAAGGCTCAAACCGGGCCCAGTTTAGTAAATTGGCCAATTTTTACCTAGACTCTAGTCTAGGATGAAATTCCTCCACCCCTTGCAAACGACACTGCATCTTTTTTGTTTTAATTGCTTTCACCTTCAAACTACAGGACAACTTAACTTGATCTCCATCTTACATCTTTGATGGTCTCACTGCCATTTTCTACTTCTCCGTCGATCACAAAATAGTTTTCGGTAGAATTGCAAAGATTTTTTTTGTATTGATTTGATCAAAAATTGATTGTCGTAACTTACGATCAAAGTTCAACAAGCAAATAACGAGCTTAATCAAACAACCAAGCCATATAACACAAGAATTATAAAATTAATTTGATCCAATATTTCCTAATTTTTTTTTTGTGGGATGAAGATTTAGAATTATATATGCCTGTTCACTATTGTGGTGGAGGCGATGACGAGGCAACTAAAGTTGTTGATTACTTATTATTCCAATTTTTAATTTACAAATATGAAAGTAATAGAGAAGGAGAGAGAAAAAGATGAAGAATGAATCTTAGAGGATTCTAGAGTATTAATTAAGAAGGAGAGAGAAAATTATGAAGACTAAAGCTCAAGAAATGATAGCAGAAACACTGTACTGTATAATGAATTTGTTCATGAATGAAAGATAAACATAAATGAACATATAATATTTTGTAATTGAACATTTAATTATGGTTTGATAGAACATTTACTTATTTTCATAGATGATAAAAAATTTATAAAAGTTATATTTTTTGTATTATAAAAGGAATTTGAGGATAATTGTAGAGGCTTATGTGAAAAATAAACATATATTAAAAATTATTGGAGTATATAAAGTATATGAATATTTATACATATGCAAAATGAACATCAAATAATATATAAATGATTTTTTTCATTTTCATGTAAAACTATAGAAAATAACAAATTGTTTTTGAAATTCCTTATTAAATCTGTAGAAAATATATAAAGATCGTAGATGGCAAAAGTGTGGACATTTATCATATATTTAATGATCGTCTATTAATATGCGAATAATGATCATATACTAATATATAAATGAACATTTATCAAAATGAAAATGAACATTCAACAAAAAGAATTTTTCGTAGTTCATCAAGTAAACACTATGGGTTGTGCAATATGAGTTTATTCTCCTGTAGGCTGTAGCTATTGTTTTACCGGTATTTTCAATATATCCATGACTCAATAACTTGATGTACATGTATAAATATGACAATGAACATGCATCCATTTCCAAATGAACCTATTTCAATATAAGAATGAACATTTATTAAAATATCAGTATGAAATTCAAACAAAAATTAACAAATGTCTTGATCGTGCATTTAAATTATGGTATTGAACAATTGCAATAATATCTGTATAAACATCTACTAAAAATTCAAAATATAATCTATATATTAATATCTTGGCTATGTTGCCTATGTATCTACATGAGAATGAGCAAAAGACTTTGATAAGAACATCAAATTTATTTATAAGTATTTTAAATATAGTAAATATGAACATTAGATGCTAAAACAAAAACAATATATACATAAAAATAATGAACCTAAAAGAGTATAGAAACTGACATGATCAACATAATATGTAAATGAGCATCTACTCATATATAAATGAGCATATATTGGAATGATAATGAACATGGCATAAAAATTAATGATCATTAAAAAAATATATGTGGCTAAACATATAAAGCTCTATTCAATGTTTTTAGTATCGATCTTGTTGTTTGCATAAAATATACTTTTATGTTAGGTGTGACATACAAACGATACAAGCAAGCTAAGTAGTAAGTACTACATATACTTAATTACTTACTACTCCATACTATACGTTACATAAAAAAAGAGTACGTATTGTAACAATCAATACACATTATTTACAAAATGTGAATGTCTATCAAAATTGAAATAATAAAATTATCAAGATAAAAATGAACATTTATCAATACGAAAATGATCATTTATTAATACGAAAACGAACATACACCATGTATATATCAATATCCCAATACATATATATTGAATAAAGTGATCATTTATCAATATGAAAATGAACATTTATCAATATGAAAAATGAACATTAATAAATTTTAAAATAAAAATAAAAATAAAACTACTTTAATAAATTTTCTTTCATGATTTGGGAAAGAAAAAGAAATCAGCTATGCTTATAATAACTGCCAATTAGAGAGAGAAAGTAGAATAAGAGACTAAAAATTTAAGAGGCACAAAAATTGATGTGAAATTCAATCAATGAAATTTTTGTTGATTGAATTTTCCATGAAAATAACCAGTAGAAGAATAAATCACACACTTTTAAGTCACATAACGATTAATTG